AGCCGCTGACCTTCTCGTGGTCAGCTCCTTTATGTCACGAAAGGAGATTTGTAGATGACCTACCAGCAGGCACGTGTCAAACATCAGCGTAACATCCTCACTGTTACAGGGGAGAAATCAAAGGAAAAGTACGCAGTGCTTCAGCATATCAGTGGTCAGTCCTGACCGCGCGAAAGACCACCTCCCCATGAGTTCCCCACCACTGCCGGGCCGGCGGGCGGCACCCCGGAGGCCCTCGGGCTGGCTGGCGGTATCGTCCAGCCATCTCACTGCATTGTGTTGTTCCTACAGGCAGGTGCCAGCGAGTCCATTTCCATCTGCCTTATCGCTGGCAGTTCTTGTGTGAAGGAACGTGGAAGGATTTGGACGAAATGGAGCTTATTGAAGAGGCGTACAGCAACCCCGGAAAAGACGGGTACGGAGCGTGGCGCCTGTTTCTGCTTGGAGCATGGGCTGAGCCGGAGGGTAGACCTGCGGTGGTTAGTGTGGATGGGCGTGAGGGTGTGGGCCCCGGGGCAGGGCGTGTGCACATGCGCACACACCACACACACACACACACAATGTATACTCACCACATGTATACACCTACACACCACATATACACACCACACATTGTCCCAAATACTCACACACTTACACACATGCACGCCCACATTCACACACACAGACACACACCCCACACACGCGTGCACATACCCACACACTCATATACAGACCACACACGCACACTTTCTGTCTCTATCTCCAACTCTTTCTGTCACACGCACTCTCACACACATCTCATGCATACATGCACACACTGTCTCACACACATACACATACTCTTACACACACACCCTCTGTCACACACATCCCACACACACTGTCTCAACACACGCACAATCTTTGTCTCCCACATACACATGCACAGTCTCTCTCACACACAGATGCACACTATCTCTCACACACACACGCACACTGTCTCTCACACACACACCCCACACACACACACTGTCTCACACACACACCCCACACACGCACACTCTCTGTCTCTCCCTCTCTCACACACACTCGCACACGCTCTGTCTTTCACACACACACTCTGTCTCTCCCTCTCTCACACACACATGCACACTCTGTCTCTCCCTCTCTCACACACACATGCACACTCTGTCTCTCCCTCTCTCACACACACACGCACACTGTCTCTCCCTCTCTCACACACGTACACTCTCTCTCACACACACACGTACACTCTCTGTCTCTCACACACACACGCACACTCTCCCTCTCACACACACACACACTCTGTCTCTCCCTCTCTCTCACACACGTACACTCTCTCTCACACACACATGTACACTCTCTGTCTCTCACACACACACGTACACTCTCTGTCTCTCACACACACACGCACACTCTCTGTCTCTCACACACACACGCACACTCTCCCTCTCTCACACACACACGCACACTCTGTCTCTCCCTCTCTCACACACACACACGCACAGTCTGTCTCTCGCTCTCTCACACACACTCGCACACTCTCTGTCTCTCTCACACACACACTCTGTCTCTCCCCCTCTCACACACACACACGCACACTCTGTCTCTCCCTCTCTCACACACGCACACGCACACTGTCTCTCCCTCTCTCACACACACGCGCACTCTGTCTCTCCCTCTCTCACACACACACGCACACTCTGTCTCTCTCACACACACACTCTGTCTCTCCCTCTCTCACACACACGCACACTCTCTGTCTCTCACACACACACGCACACTCTCCCTCTCTCACACACACGCACACTCTCTGTCTCTCACACACACACGCACACTCTCCCTCTCTCACACACACACACACTCTCTGTCTCTCCCTCACACACACACCCTCCCCACGCACATAGCAGGCAGCCCGTCTGGAGGTGGAAACTCTGAACTGGAAACCGGAAGTTAGCGTTCTTCCTGCGGGCGGCTTTATGGCCCCCCTCTCCCCTCCCTCCCACCCCCTCTCCTTTCGGGGAGGAGCTGCGGGGAAGGGAGGGGGTGGTGCGCACACCAGGTGAGTTCTGAGCTGGTTGCTGCTGGGTTTGCTCAC